CAGACAAACGTCACCTTAATTCCAGATTTGTGCACCATCTACCACCCCAAGATTTTAGTCCTGTCCTGGACTCCTCCATTTCATTACTATTTCATAAAGGAGGAATGAAGACTATCTTATCTAAACAAATTGAAAAATGACATATTTTATTCTCCAGCAAAAACCATGACCATGATGCCTCACAAGTAGTTTGAGTCTTTTATTTTTAAGTTTTCAGTTTGAGCAAGAGAAAACTCCAGTTCTATTCTGACCACAGAAGCCCTTGCTTTCCAACTACAGGCATGTGTTAGCAAAGCCTAGATAGAGACAGGACTAAAATGAGACTACAACATTCATTTGTATCTTTGACTCTTGGTACAGAAATGTAGGTATAGGGAGATGCCACAAAGCCATTTTGAAAATAGTTTCCAGAGGAAAAAGCTAAATTCTGGGCTTCATTGCCATTTGTCCTTCAGATAGAGATTGCTAGAGACAGTTTCTGTTCTGAAGTGTTTACAGACTGCAGAGCAGACATGCACTATTTCTAAATATGCACAAAAAGATGATGGCAGACTGAGGAGCTGATCCTGTTCTCCCAGTGTGCCATTCAAATTAGCACAGAATACTTAGTGCATTTTTCCTGCATAAATATTTTGCCTGCCCTGTTGAGGTGGCCCAAAGTAAGCAAAGGCTACAAAATGTGCTCTTTTCAGTGGCAGAACATCTCTTGAGAAAATACCAACATTTGTACTGCCAAAGATTACCATAAAAAAGAACTCAAATAAAAAGACTCCCACACAACTCTAGTACAGTAGGTACTCCTTTTTAACAGGAGTTCTCTTGTGCAGAAATATGAGACTGGCCTTTTGCATGTCCCAGGAAGGAAGTGTGCACGATATCCCTCTTAGTTCTATATCCCAAAGACAGCCATGTGTAAGAAAGGTGATATTGTGTATCCCTGCAGACTGTGAAGGACTGTGGTGAAGATCAAGACCCAAACTACTGCTAACAAAGCTACTTCGGGAATGGTAGCCAGTGGTCAGAGAAAGAACGAGCACCACTGACTGTGTATCAGCTCCTCTGCACAGAGCTGCATCAGGTGTAAAATGTCACTGACTTGAGTGGAGCTGCTCAAAATACTTTGCAAAAAGCACGTTACCATGGCCAGAACTACTTGCAAAGTGACACTTTAGTTTTCTATTTTGCCTGATCTGGGCTGAGCTACATTACTCTAAACATACATACAAGGAGGCTTTAAACAGTTTACTTTTTGTTACCAGTAAAGAGAAAGAATGTCTAACCCTAAGAATAACCGTGAAATGAGTTCTTGTTGTAGATCCATCGTAATTATTACCTGCTTGCTCATTATCTGACTCTACGCAGCAAAGAATATGTAATTCAAGACATATTTGAGGCATGTTTTGAGAATCTTGAAAAATGATGTTCACTTGTATCAAAGTCAGTTCTTAAGGGCAGCATCCTGCACTCTTTCACTCTTTCCTGAGAACTGCTGTGGTTCATCAGTTTTCTGTCAGACCTCCTGTCACACTCAAATAAATTGACAAAAAATCCCATTACAAAATGCAGAAAAGAAACGCAGTTTCTTCCTGCAATTTTCTAAGTATTAGACCAACAATACACAAAGTAAATGGTCAGCAATAAATTCAATAGAGAAACTTAGTGGTTACAACAGCCTACAGTTGTGTTATAATAGAATAATAATTTCCTAATAATAATTGTATACCACAACTTTCCTTTTTAATTTTTTTGATGATAAGCAGTAACTCTATCTATCCACACGTGTTGCATATGAGTGAAAGAAACCTAAGAACTACATACTGAATCATATTTATTGTGAGTGAGCATGAACAAAAGCCATCCCTAGCAGTGGGCGTACTGCAATCATCCAGAACATCTAGCAGAACCACTCCACAGGAACTCCTTTTAGCAGGCATCCCTTAGTTGCTTTATCATGGAAATCAGAAGGCTGACCAGGAATCAAAGAAAGAAGAAGTTGTGTGCCAGACTTTGGAAAGATATGGGGTTAGAACCTTGTCTGAAAGACACATCTTCTCTCAGGACCCAGAAACATCATCAGGTCTACTGATTGAGATTTAGCCATAAATATAAAGCATAAGATAACACACAAAAAGAAGAGGTCACCAACCTACCCAATCCCAACATTTGATTAGAAGTATTTCTCTGATTTGAGAATGCAAGAGCCTTCTATTACTACAAAAAAGCCTTTTCCAGCATGTTAGTTGAAATTAAAAAATGTCCTATAACTTCACATGGGAGCTGAAGAACTCTGCAAACCTCACAGCCACAGTCTGGGGAAAATTCCCATCAGAGTTCCACCCACACCTCGTGCTTGAAACATTTATTACTGGAGACCATAGGAATCAGGTACTAAAAAGACCTCCTAGACTACTAGAGCCATGTCCCTTGCAGACACGTCAGAGGAGTGGGTGATCCCTAAGTTATCAATATGGAAAAGTTGTCAGAGATTATATCCCAACAGAAAACACTGGGGGGGGCTAGGGGGAATTAAATCTTAAATCAGAAGCAGCCAACATTGAGCCAAACGTTGAGAGAGAGATTTCAGCTGAAGGGTTAGAAGGACCTGAGATGTCCACACACCCAGCTCTAAATGAAAGCAAATGCTCTTAAGTGACTTAAAAGTTGTTGAAAAAATGTACCAAAATTGTTCAAGTTATTAGTAAAAACGTGGTCAGATAATACCTGATTAATACCTTACAAAAGATGAAAAAATACATCATAGATAGCATAGTAAAAAAGAGCAACTATAATAGAGAGTAAGTATGAAATCAGTTGCATGAACTCATATGGTAACAAGCTATGATTATGTTTGGTATACAGAACAGTATCGACCTGTTCAATAATTTATTAGTCCTTACTGGGCAATGGTTAACTTATACTAATCATTTTATCAATACTTTTTTATATGAAATGTGAATGAAAAAGTGCTAGTGGCAATCCTGGATATGAGAATAACTCAGTTAACAGGCTGACACAAAAATCCAGGGAAGATCTATAAAACCGGCAGTTGAACATAAATTCTATGATGTAAACCTATGAGTTTTCAATGCATTAGTTTTGCTCAGCACGATCAAAATTCATTTTTTTAAATAAAAACAACAACAAAAAAGGTATTTTGAGAAGCATCACACCTAAAGAAAAAGTTATGGCAAAACTCAAGATGTAAAAAAAAATAATAGATTACTGGAACATTCTCCTGTGATATAGAAATTAGTTACCAGTTTTCAGATTAGGAAGGAATAGAACATGGGTCCAACAAACTAAACAAAGAAAACACATGATAGGGGAAAGTAAAGTAATAGTGAGGTGGGAAAATGTGCTAAATTATGTGAGCTATCCAAAGCTAAAGAAGATTAATAGGAGGTTTAAAAGGACTCAGAAAACCAAGACTACCAGGTATTTGAAATACAACAGAGAAAAGGAACATTAACTTTCTCTGAAAGGAAAAAAAATTACTTAATTCCACACATGTATAAATAGCTATTCTAGTGAAAAATAAAAGAAAACCTAGAACTCTTTAACAATACAAGGAAAACAGTTTGGACAGCTGTAGGAAGATATCTTGCTGTTGAACACCTGCCTACATGAAAACTGAAAACAGATTCCATTTATGGAAATAGTAAGTTTTGAAATGTATTATGTTTCTTTACTTCTAACACTAACTTCATTATGTTAAATTCCATCTCAAATAAAGCACAACAGATAGACAAAGGGCACAGAAATTAGTAGTGGAACAGAAAAACTCCCACAGAAGTAGAAGTAAGTAAGTTTAACACTATCCCATTGAGAGAAACACTGAAAAAGATTTAATGCAGTGGGGCGAAGGATGGATACAAACAGGCAATTGACAGTGTAGATATCAGTTTAGAGTAACTGTGGCTCCCTTTCCATTGGGCTCAAAGGAAATGCAATCTTCACTTCATGCTTGTTCACATACAAGTGCTTGGGTCTGTCCTGTAGACATAAGCATGTGCAGCCGTAGCATGTGAAGCTTTATTCTTTCCTCTTAACCATTAACATTTCCAAACATTTGTGGTTCACTGATGCGATACATGACTGCTGACAATATCAAATGTAAAGCTTTGCATCTTTATCATTGCATTTTTGGTTCAGTTTTTATGAACAAAAAGGCTTCTTTTATCTATACTATCTTCTAAAATGCCTGACCACATGGGGATTGATGAAAAGTATGCAGATATCTGTTAATTATTTTATTATTTATTTCATAGACAGTATAACTTATTAAGAAGATATTTATGGGCTCTTGTTCAGAATATATTATTTTTTAGTCTTCTACTGCTATTTGAAGCAGTTATCAAACTCATTAAGGTATCCTTATCCACCCATGATGCGAGGACCACAAGAGCTGGGTCACAAGCAATGCCTTTTACTTTCAAAACAAGCCTCTATTACTGCGGGCACTGATTCAAGCCTCACCTTAACAGGCAAGAAATGATGAGTGAGTTAACAGCACAGAATTGCCACGCTGAAAGACAAGGGGAACTGTTCTGTGCAGGTGCAAAATTCTGGGGGCTTGAGGCACATAATGTCAATTCTCATAAGTAATCATCTTCTAACACTGCTATTATTTCAGGTGCTCATCACTATTTACATGGAAAACAGTTGTCATTATTTCGTCATGTGGCCACTTCAGAGAACTCTATAGGATTTAGATAATGCTTTTAAAAAATTGCATGGATTATTGAATTAAATCAAATTGATTTGTTGCCTTGAGGGAGGGGTGAGAAAAAGAACCTTACTGCCATTACTCAGTAAGTTTATTGTAGATTGTTCACTAAACAAAAATTACATACTTTGTTTGTATGTTGTGTGACAAACTTGAAACCACAAGTGTTTACATGTGCTGCACACATACACTTTTGGGTTTTAATAGCTGGTTGACAAGAGATTAAAGGCAGAAATATGGCATTTTATTAAAGCAAACATATCAGTATGCCTACCATGATAAAATGATCTAGTTTTCTTCAGACACAAAAGTTTCTGTTGAGTGATACCTTTGAAATTCCTTGAGGGCACCCTATTATTCACTTTCCTCAGCAGAGAGCAGCTGCAAATGGTCTCCAATTTTCAAAGAGTATTGCCTGGTCATTCTTTACTGTCAAAATGAAGAAGAGCATAAAAGTTAAGTCAATAAAGTAATATGAAATGCTTAATATAAAAATTCAAGAATGAATGATTAACCATTAAAAACTTACAGTAGCTATTTCAGCCAGGAAAAAAAATTAACATTTCCCTTGAAACCTATTAACACTCCTTGTAAACAATATTCTTTCTTGAAATATATGACCTTTCCTAATGCTCTCCATACACATGGCATTTTTCTTATATCCACTTTACCTTCACTGATATGCAGCTGAATTCCTCAGGAGAGGGTGTTTAGAGCCCCTTCCTCTGATGCACTGAAAAAAAATGTATTTTTTTATTGCATTCCCCTTCACAAATACACCTAACCTTCAGCTTTAGATCTTAAAATCCTTTCCTCATCCAAGAGTTGTGTGACCTGTTGTAGTTGTTGACGTGCTACCACCATTCCAACCACAGTCAAGTGTCGAGCATAAAATTAATCTCATTCATTTTAGCCACTGATAGCTACATGTATGTACAGCTTTTAAAATACACACTTCCCTGCTGCATGTAACAGAACATCACATTTTAAAATCACATAGTTGTCTTAATTTCTAAGCCTTAATGAAAGATGGGGTGACCACTTACACTGAGAACTGCCTGCACATCCTACTGCACAGAAGTCAGGTATATGATCCAGTTTTTAGGAAAACAGCAATTCTCTCATTTCTGAGCTTGCTCAGTCACTACTTTTCCTTAAGTGCTGAATGTGTTAGCAAGGTATTGTGAAGGTGACCATGGAGAAAAAATTATATGGAAAATGCCTGTATTTTGCATTCAAGACTGCTACATGTATTGATCTAAAACTATCAAAAGACAACTTTAAGAGTACACACAGGATTAGAACCTGAGATTCCAAAGTCTCCACAGTGACAATGCAAGCCAACACATGAGCTGCAATCTTAAGGTGATTTATAGCTTGCTTGAAGCAATTACATCATTAGAAAATGTTTATTACTAAAATGATTCAAACAAACAATGAATGGAATTAGAAGGTGCACAGCAAAAGTGAGAGCCTATGCTGGGTAAAGTTGTAGTACAAATTGAAAAAATGGCAAAGGAAGGGGAGGGTGACTATCAAGGCTGACTTCCTATGGCTTGCTCACAGTACATAGGTAACTGTCACTGCGACTATGGCTTCTCCTTCAATTTCTCCTTTTTATTGATTTATGGGAATAGATCAATGACCCAACATTCTGAGCAAAACACTATATCACAGCAACCATGACTACAGCAGGTTTCTGAATTTCATGACTACTGGACTTTGCATGTAGTGTCCGACACAAGAAAAGGCACTTGTAGAAAACTTTAGTTAGATCATCACCAGAGTTTTGGGGAAGGCAACACTGCCTAGAAAAGTCAAGGCTTGGAAAACAAAATCAACAATAATAAATAATACCACTAATAAGTCAAAATCCTTCCATTAGGAAAATACTCTCTAAAAAGCACAGGAGATCTCAACTCAGGTAACCCAGAGGACTAATACATGGAGATCCACTTGTAGTTGCAGCAACTCCAGAAGGCCGAATAATATAGATTACAGGGAGTTAATTGTATGCTTCATTCAAGAGGATAGCTTCATTCTGACTTTAGACATGGGTGTCTAAATACATAGATAAAGATAGATGCAGACATATCCTAATAAGATTTTAGGACCCTTCAAGGCCCTTTAGGCTGTACAGGGCTCTGAGCCTGGTCTAGTGGAAGGTCATGGCAGGGGGGTTGTAACTAGATGATCTTTAGGGTCCCTTCCAACCCAAACTGTTCTGTGATTCTGAGATTTCTGGTTATCTGGGAAACTGGAATTCCCACTTCACTAACTGCCTGTGAAATAGACATAGAACCTGTGTTAAAAAATACATAAACCAGGGATCATAAGTCACACATCAAAATGTAGTATTTGGAAACCTGCACTTAATACCTGAAAATATTGGGCTCTGTCTTCATTGTATGGCCTGAATACTTAATACCAAAATACTTAATCACAAGTCTGACTTACACATATCAATAAGCGACTCAAACAACTTCCCTGAAATGGTGCTCAAATGTTTTTCTGAATAGTGGGAAGATGCATCTACACTCCTCTCTGCACAACAAAATGTGGTCAAAGGAATATCACCTCACACCAGGTCTACAGACATCAGTGAACTGAAATGAACTCTGTATTAACAGTCTAAAGCAAGGCCCTGTTTCTGTGTTACAAACCTTTATGGAAATAATTAGTAAGTAGATGTTAAGTAGATCTTTCAATATTGCAATTTAGAAATCAGAAAGCCACAAATGTTACTGATGGATATTGCATTTCAAGTCACATTTAAAGCAAGAATGGTATAATCTGCTTTGTAACTGGTGAATCCTTTGATCTAGTGCTGTTGTGTTACAGCATTTACTCTAATAATCTCAGAAATACATGCTTTACGTATACTCTGATTTCAAATAGAAATGGTAGGAACATTTGCTATTAAAAGACATAAAAGACTTTTCCACAAAGCTAGGGAAAAAAAAATCTGTGAGGTGCTGAATTTAATATGAATGTTTTAATCAAAGTAGTCTTAATTCAAAGCAACAAAAGTGAGGACTGGTCAGACAAGCTCACACAAACCTATAAAAAGCTTACATCTCTGCTTAAACTAACAAGTCCCATTGAAATTTCTAGCTCTTAGGTTAAAAAAAATAAGTTTTAGTTTCTTAATTTTTCTGACTGGAATCTCAGTTTTCATGGTTTGGCATCATCAAAGATTGCCACTCCCCCCAAAAATTATCAAGGCCACATAGTTCAGACACTTTTTGCTGGTTACCTACCCTGATAAAGTTCTTTATCAGGTGGCCTTAGTGACAACCACTATGACTGGTTGGGCCCGCCAATAATTTCATATTTCTTGCTGCAGTAAGAAATTAAATTCACCTGTGAAGTCGACACCTAATTGGAGTAAGTGGGGTTGGATCATTTATATAGTAAAACAGTATATATATAAAACAGTAAGCAGCTCAAACATATTTATTCCTTAAACTTCACAAAATTTAGTAAAGTTTTAAAGTGTAAGGTCATTGAAATCACTGCACACAGATGGACACTTGCAACAGAGGAAGCCCTAAAAGTAAGACACAGGATGTGGTAGGGCAGCAAATAGACAAAACTATCTAATAAAAAGCAAAGCAGATTTAGCAGTGATATGTGGAAATAATAAATTACATATGGTTCCTAAATGGAATGGAATACATGTTAGAGACTTGCTAATGAAGTCATATGAAAACTTAAAGGCAAACCAGACACTAAGGATCAGATACATCTGAATAAAAGTAGATGTGGATGATGTAGACATATACCTCTGAGCTCACTATCTAAGGATCCTCTTATAAACAATAGTCTTCTACCCATGAAGTAGAAGCACATGTCCAGAAAAACACATCTTGTCAGGGTTCTTACTGTAACTTCTTCTCCTTACACAATATAGTAAGAAAAAAAAGCACCCACCACACAGTTGTGACAAAATAACTGTTCTCAAAAATTGCTTCCATATTTATCTTCTTGAAGACATACTAAATGCCATCTAAACTGAATAAAAGGTAAGACTAAAAGCTGATGTCAATTATCCTGGTCTGATAATTTCTAACTCAGACTTACTTGTCTCAGAAGAAATCAGTTGGTCAGACATGAATACTCAGGATCATTTTATTTGTTTGTTTGTTTGCTTGCTTGTTTAAAATGCATTCTTTTTTCTAGATGAAACTTCCATGAGTTCTACATAAAAAATAAATTGCATCCCTTAAAACATATTATTGGCATCTAATTTGTGTTCATGAATTTAATTCTTACAGATGATTTTACTCATAAAGTCATATTATAAAAATACGCTGATGAAAAATGTTAAAGGTCTGCTGTGGTTTATTTGATATGATATCCTGTGATAAGCAGCAGAAACCTGCTATATTTGAATTATGTTCTACTGCCAATCAGACCATGTCCATCAGTGAAAACAGCAGCACTCATTCTACTGTTGTTTAAATCAAAATGGAGTTGTCACAGAATATTTCAGAACATTTACTATTGCTAGTAGTTTACTGCAAGGAAATTACACTCCCCAGTGCACTCTCTCTATTTTTTTTTGTCATTTAGCAGATGGCCACTACCAAGAACAGTGAGAGTATGAATAGCTTGACATGTTTGGGCATTCTATTCTATTCTTTCTGATGACACACCTTTATATTGTTTTGTCACATAGGCATTTACTATTCGGTGTCTTTCTAAAACCCCAAAATCTCAGAACACTGTATGAGTTTTTTTCATTTTAAGTCAAAATCACGATTTTGGAGGATATGGGCTGACATGAATTCAGAATGTGTAGCACCAGCAGGGACATTGCTCTGCAGTAGATGCTACAGATGTCGAGGCATCCCTGAATAACTAATAGCAGAAGTTTCTGTAAGAATTTTTTAGGACCCTAGCAAAATTCTCATAAAACATTCCTGTAGTTGAAACAGTACAGTTCAATCTTGATGAATGCCATTTTAGCTTGGCTTTCTCTATGCATTAATTTAGGCTTTAAATTTACCTCTGCCATGAATCATGAGGCCCAGTTAAGGAAGAGCATGATTGCAGTCAATGAAACATCACTGTTCTAACATACGTTTCTGATGAGAAGCAAATCTCTAAGACACAGAATATACAGATCTTGAATCACACTAATCTTTAGCACAGACTATTTAATTCCATTTTCATTGTACTTCTCCAGCACAGCATAAGAAAACCTTATTTTCCATGAATATTCACTTCACAGGCTTTTGTAGAAAATCATTGAGAATTGTCCTGATAGAGGGTGACATCTTGATCACACATCAACATGTTAAATTACATCCCATCTTCTCAAATCATAAATGAAAAGAGTGGCTGCATTCCACAGTC